TAAAAAATAAAGGATATAGAGAAATTGGAATCCTTGAACATTTGTTGATAAAAACATAAATTTAGGTGAAGAGACATAAATGAACCTCTAGATTAAGGATCAACAAAGTATAGTTTGGGAGCCAAATGCCTGATTTGGTAAAAAAGTTTTATTTTGGCAGAGCCACATTCATTTACATATTATCTATAGCTGCTTATGAACTGCAACAGCCATTGAATAGCTGCAACAGACTGTGTAATCCAGAAAATAAAAAATGTGTATATCTCATCTTTTATAGAATATATGCTAAACTCTGCTCCAGATCAGAACTGTCCTATAGAATCTTCTGTGACAATGAAAATATTCCATATTATCCAATATAGCCATCACTTACCACATGTAGGTGTTATGCACTTGAAATGTGGCTATGCAGCTAAAGAACAGATTTTTAATTTTAATTAATTTTAAGCAATTTTTAATGTTTTCATTAGTACATTATAGTTATACATAATGTTGGGGTTCATTTTCTTTGACAGTAACTCCTTTAGTAGGAGATAATATTAAGAATATAATAAGTAAAAAAAAACCCTCCCAAATAATGTAATCAGTAAATGGGMAAAAAGAACTAAATGGATACTTCTCAAAGAAGAAATACAAACAGCCAACAAATRTATGAAAAAATGTTCAATATGATTAGTGATCAGAGAAATTCAAATCTAAACTACATTGAGAGTTCATCTCACTCCAATTAGAAAGATACTATCAAGAATACAAATTATAATAAATGCTGCCAAGAATGTGGGGAAAAAGGTACACTCATAGCTTGTTGATGGGACTGCAAATTAGTATAACCAGTTTGAAAAGCAATGTAGAATGGAACCATCATATGATCCAGTTGTCCCATTCCTTGGTATTTATCCAAAAGAAGTAAAATCAGCATACTGTAGTGATAAAAGTACATCAATGTTTGTACCAGTGCAATACATAATAGCCAAGTTATGGAATTGGCCCAGGTACCTGTTAACAGATGAATGGATAATATGGTATAAACATACAATGAAGTTTTACTCAGCCATAAAAAAGAATGAAATTATGGCATTTGCTGGCAAATGGATGAAACTAGAGAACATCATGCTTTATTGAAATAAGCCAAACTCAGAAAGCCAAAGGTTGAAAATGTTTTTTCATATGCAGAGACTAGAACAAAGTAAGGGAGAAAAATGGGGAATCCAATGAAAATAGTAGATCAGTGAAATGTGGAAGGGGATAGAAGGTTAAGGGGGGGGAGAAGAAAAAGGGAGGAATGTGGGTGAAAATTTAAGGAACTTAAATAACTACATGTGTATAGTGGCTACAGTACTTAATCAAATTCTTTGTTTCAGGGATAAAGAAAAAAATATCTTTCTCAAGCAGTAGAATTAGGTTTAGAATATAAGTTTTCCAATATTATTTCAGTGTTTTATCCATTACACTAAGCTTCCCTTTTGATATCTCCTGTGGTTAATTTTCTGTTCCTAATGTTCATTTTTTTRCAGAAGACCCTCTATATCCGAGTAATCATTATTCAGTTCCCTGAAATCACCAAATTGTTATGAGGAAAGACAGAGTCTTTAAAAATAGGAAAACTCTCACTAATTAAGACCACCTATAAAACTGACCCAAATAGAACATCTCTTTTTGCTTATTACATGGTATCTATCCCATATACTATGTCAATATCTTTCTCCTGACTTGTTTACTACTGGTTACTGACTTTGTAAATAGTCAAAAATAAAATGAAAATATACTTCAAGTTGATTTCAAAGTAAAAAAGGAAAGATGTTGGATTTTTCTCCAGTCATACATTAAAATAATGTTGGATAAGTGTCTGAAGCACCATAAAGACACTGATAAGTAAGAAACTGACAGCTTAACAAAAGCAAAATTACAAGGGTTTGAATATGAAAGAACTAATAGATGAACTAGAAAAAAAACTTATGATTGTTCTTAAAATTTTGAAAAGAAATTTTTCTTGAGACCATAATGCAAAAATTAACTATAAGGGCTGGGTGCAGTGGCATACACCTGTAATCTCAGTGGCTTGGGAGGCTGAGACAGAAGGATCATGAGTTCAAAGCCAGCCTCAGCAATTTAGCGAGGCCTTAAACAACTCAGTAGTGAGACTCTGTCTCTAAATAAAATACAAAATCGGGCTGGGATGTGGCTAAGTGGTTGAGTGCCCCTGAGTTCAATCCTTGGTACTCCCCCAAAAAAGAAAAAAAAAATAACTATAAGAATATCATAGGTGCTATCATACAATTTTGCCAAAAAAAAAAATCAGGCCTGAAACATTTTATAACAGCAATTAGGCTGTTTTAGAAATTAGTATGTTTTAATTAGAACTAAATTGAATTATGATGGGTTATACATCCCAATATATAATTAAGTTGAAAATAGTATAATTAAAATGCCTTTAATACACTTAATCTACCAAACATCATAGCAACTTAGTCCACTAAAAAGTATTATTGTTTACCATTGTGATTATGTAAAGGGAAATGTGGCTACCCAGTATCAAGACAATATATCATAACACATACTGCTACACCAAGAAAGGACCAAAAATCAAAATCTGAATATGGTTTTCTGTTGTTTTTTTACCATCATAAAGTCAAACTGTTAAGTCAGGAACTGTCAGTAAGTAATGTTCAGAAATGTGTTAACGCAGCAGGTCACTTTCAAGGTTGGTTGTTAGCTGCCATCAATGAACTTGACTGGTAAGCAGTACCATACCACTAATATAAAACTGCCTGATAGTAGCTCACTATGTTTAAGCTATTTACACAACAATGTGGTATATGCTTCTGGGAGTCTGGAATTTTGCTACCCGGTAAGCAAGCACAGCTTGCCTACAATAAAATTCTTGGACGTTGAGTCTCTCATAGGCTTTCATGGCCAGAAATATTGCATACATATTCCTACATTTTCACTGCTGTGGGGAGTAAGCTCTGTGTGATCCCTTACAAAGAGGAGTGCATAAGAAAGCTTTCACATAGATATTCCATATTCCATTCGTCATTTTCTCTTATAACCCAAATATGTATCCTTACTGCATTGCTGTTACAAATCTTAGCCACAAGAACAACTATATACCAAGTTCTAGAAGTCCTTCTTATTAGATATGGAAAATAACAAACCCCCAAAGTAGTGAGACCCGGGGAAATGGAAGTGAGAAGGAAAGTCATACATTGAGAGCATTGAACCTTTCCCAATACATTCTTTCCTGGTGATAAAACAAACCCTGAAAAAAAGGTGTCCATCAAACCTGGAAGGGCAGTCTCTGCAAAGTGGCCAAAGCATTAACCCTTCTGCAAACAAATCCTTTCCAGATACCAACCACTGACCCCAGCCCTTCCATCAAGTCCAGTATAATAAATTCCAGAAACTGACCACTGACCCTAGACTCCCTYCCATTTTGCCCCATAAAACAAATCCTAAATTCCTAAGCACTAAAACTGACTCCTTCACTGATGATAGAACAAACTCCAAATTCCCAGGTGCCCAAAGAAAGTTGATATGCTCACTAGACCACCTCTCAGAATATCTWTATAAGCCCAGGCCCTTTCTTTGTTTGGGGGCTCATTTTCCACCATGAAGGTAGTTCCCACCATGGCATCATTTCGTCCCTGCATCTCCTGCTCCTGTGTGAAACTTCATTCCTGAATAAAGTGCTGAACTGATTTGTGAAGTTTGCGTTCGTCCTGGTCTTTTTGTACTAATACTTCTAACATGCCTCTAAATGTAGGGATGATGTTGGTGACCCCCAACAAAAATATGAGAATTAACTTTTTTTTAAGATGCCATTTTTCAGAATAATGTCCAAAAACCTGATTTTCCCACTAAGAAATTCTGATCTATATTTAAGTGGTTTCAAACTAAGTGGCCTTTTCCCTGTACTAAGTAGTAGGTTTGTCACTTCATTGAGTCTTTCTGTTTGCTTTCTTTCATTTCAGAAACACACAGCCTTGAGAATTTGTGTATTATTTTTTAACTTTAAATATCTTAAAGGCCAAAAAGTTTATTTTGGTCAAAAAAAGTCACAATGAACATAAACCTACTTACTATCATCTCATTCTTAATCATTAGTTCACATCTCTTATATCTGTAAATCATAAATTTGATGATACTATTCCTTCACATGACTACACTTTGGCTGAAAGCAGTAGGAACACTTTTACAAAATCAAAGTCACAAGGCTGTTAAAAATATCAAGAGACAGGTAAACAGGTCAGGTACTCAAGAGGGATCCAAGAAATTTTTTCTATAAATCCTGGTTTTACATTGCTATTGTTGGTTGTGGTACTGTCCTTAACTGTATTTTCAAAACCAATAATTATTTCTGAGGTCTATAGTGTCACTGATAACAACAAGTTTTCTAGGGAGAAAAATCTAGGAAGATTGCCAAACAAAAAGGTTAGTTTAAAAATCTAAAGAGTTTCAAAGTCTATATCAGAAATTCTGTGTTACCCAAATAATGATTCAAGTAATCTTCTCTTGTGTTATTTTTACTATGACTGCCTGAAGAAAAAAACAAGGAAGATATAACAAACCCTCAAGAAACAAGCAACTCATGTTTTACCCCAACATGAAAAATGCTGGATTTATACAGAATGTGTTTTCTTTTGACTTACATGCACTGTGATAAATATAAAAAATAATTCATTAAGACATATATTTTCCAATCCATATATAGTATATCTTTATTTGTAACTTTAGCAAGTTTTATTTTTTAAAATATTTTTTAGTTGTAGATGAACACAATATCTTTATATACTTATCTTTATGTGGTGCTAAGGATCGAACTCAAAGTCTCGCACATGCTAGGAGAGTGCTCTACCCCTGAGCCACAACCCCAGCCCTTTAGCAGGTTTTAAAATCATTTGTTAATTTAGGTAATCACTTTAATTCTCAATTTAAAATATCCTACTTTTATTCACTCATTATCCTAAGTAATAGGAACTTAAATATGACATCCACTGTACCTTTAAATGATTGCTTGCAACAGCATCATGTAAGGGCAGAATTCCATCTATATTCTCACAATTAACATTAGCACCAGCTTTTAATAACTCTACAATTATATCATTAAATCCTTCATTAGATGCCTCATGAAGTGGTGTCCAACCTAGAAAGAAAAAACAACCACAACAACAATCTGCTCCTTACAGACCAACATTCAGGTAATATCTTTTTATTTATTTTAGTTATACATGGGCACAATATTTTTATTTTGTTTATTTATTTATTTTTATGTGGTGCTGAGGATCCAACCCAGGGTTTCACATGTGCGAGGCGAGCACTCTACCGTTGAGCCACAACCCACGCCCTCATGTAACATCATTATTACTTTTTTTTGCCTTAGTAGAAATAATATCTATTTTGAAGCATGTATATACTAAATATTGGACAATACATAATGCTGAAAACTATGGCCTTAAAATGTGTTTCAGTTTTGAAAACAAACTGATCACTTCATTAATATTGTTGATACAATATGTGCCAAAACAGAAGACTCACAGAATGTAAAATATAATGGGACCAGATAAATGCTAATTATCTCAATTTACTTCAACTCAGATATAAAAATATCTGACTTGCCTATTTTTATCTTTGCATTATCACCTTTCTCTTTAAAATGACATCTGACTTGATCAACCTTTGTGCTTTCCCTCTGGAATTTTTTTTAATATTTATTTTTCAATTGTGATTGTCAGTATCTTTAATTTTTTATTTATTTATTTTTTTGTGGTGCTGAGGATTGAACCCAAGGTCTCTCACATGCTAGGCGAGCGCTCTACCRCTGAGTCATAACCCCAACCCCCTCTGGAATTCTTTACATAAGATTATTTTGTTTATAAGCAAAAATTTAAGAAGTTTGATTTTTTTTTTAAGATTTATTATGTGGCCTACTAGATGAAATTGTGGAGTCAAATAGGCTCTGTTTTTTTTTTTAAGAGAGAGAGAGAGATTTTTTTTAATATTTATTTTTTAGTTATTGGCTGACACAACATCTTCATTTGTATGTGGTGCTGAGGATCGAACCCGGGTCGCAAGCATGCCAGGCGAGCGCGCTACCCTTGAGCCACATCCCCAGCCCCATAGGCTCTGGTTTTAATAGCTGATCCTGGTTTTTATTTTTGTTTTTGGTACCAGGTATTGAATGCAGGGGCACTTAACCACTGAGCCACATTCCCAGCCATTTTTTATATTTTACTTAGAGATGGGGTCTCATTGAGTTGCTTAGGGCCTCAGTAAGTTGAGGCTGGTTTTGTACTTGTGATTCTCCCATCTCAACCTCCCAAACTGTTGGAATTACAGACGTGTGCCACCACATCCCGCAGAAGTCTCATTTTTTAAATGAAGGTTTAGAATAAAAATGTGAAAGAGAAGCAAACAGTTTAAATGGAGGAGGAAAGAGAAGAAGGGACAGAAAAATAGGAATATTTTGCCTTTGCTACAAAGCTAGGGAACAGAATTAAGATTTCCAAATAAAAGGTCTCACTCCCTTTACTCCCCATTCTGTATACCTCTTTTTAATGCTCTCAAATGGATGCAAAAAAGGAGAATTATTTTAGCAACAATTAATCTTACCATTCAACTAAATAAAAATTATAATATAAAAATGTGTTCAAACACTCATCCAGGATCAAAATGGGTGGGGAATAAAATGAGTATTTCAGTGAGATCCAATTATAAAAGCAATTAAATTAAAAGGATCCAAGGACTGGGGATATAGCTCAGTTGGTAGAGTGCTTGCTGGCATGCACAAGGCTCTAGGTTCAATCCCTAGCACCAAAAAGGGGGGGGGGCAGAAAAAAATAAGATCCAAACCTGCATTATCTTTTAGATTCACATCAGCTCCTGATTCTATTAGAACTTTCACTAGGGACAGATTTCCTCTTCTGGCAGCCAAATGAAGGCGGCTTTCCCCTCTGACATTCCTCTTATTGATCCCAGCTGTCTTCATTTCTGTAAATTTGCCAAACAAAACTGAAAACTACCTTTTTGCCAAATGTTGATTATTAAGGATCTTGGAAAATACATAACAACTTCTTCAAACTATTCTAAGCAAGTATATTACACAAAACATACATCTATTAATATTAGTGCTGCTGCTACTGCTTTAAAGTATAACTTGTGAAGAAATAACAGAGCACCTGAGCATATTAATTTGCATTCATTCCAGCAGTTGGACAACACACACTTGATTAAAACAAATAAACTTCTTTCAGTTCTACATCATCTCACTCTTCAGTAGTTTTTTAGCAACAGATAGCATTTTTCTTAGAACAATAAGTTATATTATAAAAATTTGCTTTCTATAGCTATTCTATGTCTAAGTGGGTATGCTCTTATTACAGTAAGCTACCGAGTACCAAACTATGGCCTATTGGGTTCTTTATTTTTGTATCATAAAAAAATTCACTCAAAAAATCCAGTATAATATTATTGTCCAAAGATTTTTTTTTTTTAAATCTTTCCTTTGCAGTGCAATTTACACACTTATACTGGAACGAAAATGAATGGACAGATCATATGTTTTTCTCCCATTTCTTCCCAATTCATGCTAAAATGATAATAAAATATATTTTAAAGTACTATATAAATAGAGGAGGAAGTAATAGAGCACAAACAGAGAGAGAGAGAGAGAGAGAGAGAGAGAGAGAGAGATTTTAAAACTATAAAACAGCTAAAATGGTGGGTCCATAATGTGCAAGTTTGAATTGAAAAATTTCTTCTATGATTCTCACTGTGAATGGTACAAATCCTATTACTTTGTTCTCAGTGGTTTTGTAGCAAAAAAGGTAGTTGTATAACTTTGGAGCAAAAACTACTGCTGCTTATTTTACCTATTTTTTTTTTTTTTTAGTTCTCTAACAGAACTAGAAATCATAATCAGAAATATGACAACAACATATCTGAAGACTAATAAATTCTCAAGTGGTGCCTTAACAACAAATATAAATGAAATAATCTTATAACTTAGTGAATAGCTAAAAAAAAGTAAACGGTATAACTGTTCAGAAATTCTTTGAAGTAAACCACTGGGCTTAATTATATAACTTTTACCAAAACAATTTGCAAACCTTGGTTGTAGGTAACTTTCAAGAAATTTTGTCTGTTTCTGAAATTCTGACCTTTTTTATGTTCTTGGATATTAGGAGACATGTAAGTTTCTGTATTCATTTTTTCTTTTTTATCCGCACAATTTCTTATTGCTCTTTCATCTACATTGATATCATTAGTTAATTCTTCATCTGAAACACAACATTTTACAGTATCAGTACTGTAGTTCTCCTTATAAATTACATGACAACAACAAAAAATTCATACTTTAGTTTGTTTCAAGCTGAACTGTTTAAAAGAGAATAGAAGGCTTTAAAAATATTTTTATGTAACAAAGCATAGTTTGCTGGTTGCAATTACAATCAATGGCTGCAATCATCTGAGCTAACATTTCCTGCTATGAAAATGTTGTTAGGGGGATGGGACTATAGATCAGTGGTAGAGCACTTGCCTAGCATGTGTGAGGCACTGGGTTCAATCCTCAGCACTACATAAAAATAAATAAAAAAACAAATGCCAAATGTCTTCTTTGATATAAGGAGAGCAACTAAGAACAGAGTAGGGAGGAAGAGCATGAGAAGAAGATTAACATTAAACAGGGACAAGAGGTGGAAGGGAAAGGGAGAGAGAAGGGAAACTGCATGGAAATGGAAGGAGACACCCATCATTATACAAAATTACATATAAGAGGAAGCGAGGGGAAAGGGAAAAAAACAAGGGAGAGAAATGAATTACAGTAGATGGGGTAGAGAGAGAAGATGGGAGGGGACAGGAGGGGAGGGGGGATAGTAGAGGATAGGAATGGCAGCAGAATACAACAGATACTAGTATGACAGTATGTATAACCGATGTGATTCTGCAATCTGTATACGGGGTAAACATGGGAGTTCATAATCCACTTGAATCAAATGTATGAAATATGAAAATATGATATGTCAAGAGCTATGTAATGTTGTGAACAACTAATAATAAAAAACAAAAAATGAATAAATAAATAAATAAAGGTTTTGTGTCCATACATAACTAAAAAAWTTTTTTTTAAATGTTGCTAGGTTTCCTGATACTAAAAACGTGCTATATTGTGGAGAAACACAAAAACTGACAGACAACTGCTTATTAGCTTCTTTCAACATCAGCTTAACAACCATCTTTGATAATAATGTTTGCTTTCAAAAAAAACCACTATTACTTAACTATCAGGCTTAGCAGCATTCCAAATCATGACCCGTGTGGCCTCACTGCTGTTTGTTGGGCATAGATTAAGTGAAATTCATTTGGAAATTTCTATAAAGTAAATCTATAGAAAATGTGTACAAATTGAGCGATACTACTAATACCTGATTTGTGAGAATTTTTCTTCTCTTCTACTTGATTAATAGATTGTGAGATGATGTTCATTTCTTTATTCATATTGTCAGTAGAATGAAAATCTATATTATGCATGGGCTCACTCTCTGTAAGGTCTTGCCTCTTTTTTTCAACTTTAGTTATTTGTACTCCTTGAGAATGGTCAACTGTGGGGAAAGACTTGTTTGAAGAACTTGTAATTTGGCATTTTTTAGTGTCATTCCCTTTAGTGTCTTGTTTCTTTTCTATACACACCCTTTCCACAATATGTTTTTCCGTCTGATTCATTAAAGGAGTTGGTTCTCTGGGGCTATTATCCTGAGGCTTTTCTACTAGCTCCACATGACTAGTCACCTTTGAAACTTCATGTATTGAAAGTGTTCTTGTATAAGCCTTGGAAGTTTGCTCAGGATTGCCATGTGAGTGATCAAAAGATGCTCCATACATGCATTGTACATGGTTTGCAATATGTTTATCAGAAATGACTACACTATCTGAATCAGAAAAATGAATAACTTCCTCTTGTTGAAGTGTGGTTAGACTGTTTAATGCCTTATCCTGTGAAAAATGGTCTTCAGATAGTAAAAGTTGTTGAAAATCCATTTCTTTTCTATTTGTTAAGTTCTCCTCACAATTACAGTGGCTTTTACATTCTTTAGAACATATCACCTTTTCAGATGTTACAGTCTTCTCGGAAGTGTAGCAATCATTATTGTTATCAAAATTTTCCTTTATAAAGGTTAGGAAAGAATTTTCCCATTTATTAAAGCACTCTTTTTTTTTATTTGAGTTAATATATTCATGAAATTTATAAGGGCTGCAGTGTTGTTCTTGGTGAGCATGAAGCTGCTGATCTTCAGTAACAAGTGGTAACTTGATTTCTTTACATACTCTAAGTCCTGAGAAAGAAATAGTTTCAGGTTGGCCAGTGGATTGTAACTCCAAGAAATGCATTTCTGGACTATTTGACAAATCCAGACTGGGGGTATGTATTTCTTTGGACACGGAGTAAGTCTCGATATTATTATCTAATGCATTTTTCAGGCTTGACAGAGTAGGACTGGAAGGTTCACATGATTCTTCTGGAAGATCATTAGGGGTTTGGAGAATATGCTGCTGAGGAATAGCCACTCTGTTTATTCTCCTGGAAGCAGAGACAGCTATTTTCTGTYCTGAACGGCAGTCTCCATCATCCACATGAGTCCTTTTATGTGTTGTGTTTCTTCTTCCTTTACCCTTGGACACATTTGTGCTGATTCCTTTGTCGTTATGGAGACTGACCTTACTGAGTCCTGTAGAGTGTATTTGGTCAACAGTTGATTTTTTATGCCTGGAATTACCAAATTTTGTGGGTTTGGTATCTTTTTGGTAATGTTCATATATATGTTCTTCATTTAAAAATAAATTCTCTTTGCTTCTTTTATTGACTTCTACATGTTCTGGTTTCTGTTTGTCAGAATTTTCATTACAAACAAACCCAATGTGATTTTCAGAACTGAATTTTGGTTTCTATAGAAACAAAATATACATAAGTGTTATTTTTTTAATTGTACATCTATACTCAATTTAATCTCAATTTTTGATAAATGATTCCATTCAATTGTATCATTGAGTCTAATCACAGGGCCTGCTGGAATATAGCTAACCTGATATTTCAAAAGAGCTAGACTATAGAAGAAAGGCTTAGGCTCAGTATGTTTCTAATCTTTATTTTCTATGTTCATTTTAATTCCTTTTTGCCAGTATTTAGCACTACTTATTTTACTAAATATAAACAACATTTTAATCTACTTAATTTTAATAGGCTTTTAAACTAATCAGAACAAAGTTTCCTTCACAAGGAAGCTTTACAAGAATGCTTTAGAAACATTCTCCTCTCCCAACTGTTATATAGCTAGAGCTAGAATTAGGAGAGTTTCTTCCCCTGCTATCTGGGAGAAATATAGGCAGGGAAGTAGAAAAGGGGCTTTAAAAACTAGAAGAGAGATGTAATCTTAAACTGGTCTGTATAGAAAGAGTTTATTGTGAGCTGCTAAGATTAAAATGGGAACACTGCTTCATTGCACTCGCCACAACTCAAGTACCAGATGAAGAGTAACCACCCACCATGTAAATTTGAAGGGATGGGCTGACACCTTTGACTCTTGTACTGTGCTTAGACTAGAGGAAATTCGATGTGGTTGATAAACCTCAGCCTCCATGAAGAAAAAAAAAAAAAAAAAGGAAATGGCTACCAATACATTAATGTAACCAGATATGCTACATTACTCAATTTCTTCTCAAACTAATAACCTAGAACTCTCTGATTCTCATGTAATTATCCAAAGTGTCATACAATAAAAAGTGAAGTCACTATTGCTGACTAATGCTTCAGCACTTTCTTTTCCCTTTGATAATCTATAAAATAACTAGCAGTTGCATCCCTATAAAAATGTTTATTACTAAACTCAGATATACCTTGTGCTGTTGTACATCATCCAAATCTGCTGGGTCAGTGCTATTCCTTCGTGCTACAAGCAAAAAGAGAAAATAAAATAGCTTCCAATGGTCAGACTCTAGTCGTTTAAAACCCATAAATCCTTTGCCATAAGAAAATGGAGTAAAAAAATGAAATTACATAATCATTTCGTGTTAAAATTGGAATACAGTTTATTATAATTTGTAATTTATTAAAAACCAAATACTATCTCAACAGATGATTTCTATAGGAAAAGCAAAATAGAAACACCCCCCCCAATAACTAATACTAAAGATAAGCACTGTACTCGGTATTTTTTATTTTCCCCACTGATACATTCAGATATGCCCTTCTCATTCAGTAGATTATGTGAGCTACTTTTAAAAGGCAAGTATTATTTCATAATTAATTAACAATTTTCTAACATGTTTGCATAATAAGGTCCTAGTTTGGATGTTGCATTCTCTTCAAAGCAAAATAATACATAGGAAAAATGGTTTTGAAAAAAAATTTTAGACTGGTAATAATGTACATTAAGGTATTTTAATTGACGTCTTGAAACACTGAAAATGGAATTATAATCAACTATACATGCATTTAGTCACAAGAGATAAAAACCTAGAAATAATGTCAAGCACACAGAAAGCTCCTTTCAATGAATATTGGATAGAGGAATGATTAAATGAATAAATGTCTTAGACATGATACACAAAATATAAAAATTTCTTTGAGTATAAGTTAGAAATGTAAAATATTTAACAAGGATATAACTGGAAAAGAGAACAATTTCATTTATTTCTTGAGAATAACTGTAATGATAGCAATCAAAGGATGATCTGAATCATGAAGACTACATCATTTCAATTAGTGGGGAAAGGCACATAAAATGTCCTTCTATCAATTGACATAGATAGGAGCACATTCTCTGGAGCCTTATTACTGAGTTTCAATGCTGTCTCACCTGCTTACAAGCTGGGTGACCTTGACCAAGGTTTTCAAAGTCTCTGCCACCATATAATGTCTATATATGAAGGCTGGTAAGAGCCCCTATCTTACAGAACTGTGACGATTAAATGATAAAATTCATGTGCAGAGTTTAGAGGAGTTCCTGACACAAAGAAAATACTCAATTATTACTGTATTTCACCACATAATCATCACTACCTCAAAATAGTCACACCTTGTTTCTTCAGTCCAAAAATTGATTTATAAACTTTTATTGTAAAATTGTCCTATGGGTATAATTCTGTATCTTACAYGGATTAAAAGGCAAACACAGCAGTAATTCATTCACCAGTGGCATATAGATGTGAGTTTGTCTTCTCACAGAATGAGGACCTGAAGCCTAGAATTCTCAGCCCATGGTGTACTGTCAATATTATTTCCAAAAGCCGCTGGTTTGCATGGTTTGTTTATAGCACTGCCATACTAAAGGTAAACACAACTTACTGAGTGGTGCTAAAGACAGCATGTCAGATAATAAAACCTAGATCACATAGTGGTGAACACAAGATTAACTCATTTTTTAGGGGAGATTTAACTCAGGGGTACCTGACCACTGAGTCACATCCCCAGYCCTATTTTGTATTATTTATTTAAAGACGGGGTCTCACTGAGTGGCTTTGAACTCCCCATTCTCCTCCTCAGCTTTCCAAACCACTGGGATTACAGGCGTACCTGTCTCACTTGGCTGAGATTAAATTTAAGGCCATATTTAGCAACACTGTAATAAATGTTTTCAAGTGTAATATTTAGACTGGTATCTAATTTAATTTTTAGGCTATATAATGCACAAATCATTAACAACTGATGAGTTATTTAAAATTTCTTTTACAGGCCCAAAAATGTTTGCTAAACTGTTATGAAGAAATGATGTATATGAATTTAGACTATTCAATTTTAACATATATATTCATGATTATTCTGTGCTTCTAGTATTGCACTAAAGTCAGTTTAGGAATAAATGATTTTTAAGTAATACTAAGCACAATTTTTTTAAAAAGCTTCACATAATGGTTGTACCCTACTATTTTGCCAAAAAAAAAATTGGCATAAAATCTGAAATGTTATATGTTGAAATATAGTAATGCTATTGTTGTTAATATTTTCTAAAAGCATTAATAGTGCTAAAATACTGCTAATTTTTCTTCTCCAAACTTTGGTTCTGAAATAAAAGAGCAGAAAAATAATATTTTCTAGGAACCAACATACCAGGCATAGATCCTTAAAGAATTCAGAAGGAACAAAGGAGGTTTTATTTCTTCTCAGCTTTAAGACTCTACATTCTCTAATATAACTAAATGACCATACAGATAAAAGTTATGAGTTGGTGTTTTGGTGAGGGAGCTGTATTTTTCCCCTCTGTAACTCTGCACTAGTYATTGTTGTTGAGGTATTTTACATACATTAACTCAAATTCTCACATTAACAATCCCATAGATATGCAGGTAGAAGAATAGATACTAAAAGCCCCAATCTGCAGATTAAAAAAAAAAACAACTGGAGATATTAATTTACCCAAATCTATGAAGTTGGTAAGAATGAATCCATATGTGATGCCAAAAATATATATTTATGATAGAAAAGCACCAAATATACTTTATTTGAAGAAAGTTCTTTAATCATTACTCTTATAATTAAAAGCTCTTCAGGACTTGGATCTAGCTCAGTGGTAGAGTCCTTTCTGGCATGTGCAAGGTTTGATCCCCAGCACCTCCCCCCACTCCCACCCCCCAAAAAAGCTCTTTGACTGGAATTTAAAAATAAATATTCTATATGAATATACAGATATTCTTTACTTAATTTCACACTTACATTGAGAAGTAGGCTGATAGTAACAAAATTTGAACACTCAAACTTAAGAAATATTTTAAACCATTGGGTAAAACAAGATAGTGGGGGGGGGGCAAAAGGACAATCAGTGTGGGTAATGAATGAATAGGTCAGGAAGATGGGGGCTGATTCAAAAGGAAATAAAATGCTAATACCCCCCAGAGCACTTCCCCCTCCTCCAACCTATTGCCAAGGTTACTTGCCTCCATTCTCCTCCTTGGTCACTCCACCTTTCTGTCTCATAACAAGATAAGAGGAGGAGGAGGCATAAGAAGAAAGGAAATCTAAAATCTATAAAAGGGGCAGGACACTTCCACTCCCTCAGGCACCAACTTGGACTCAGCCCCCGCTGCAGAGGATTCTCTCTCTGTTTTATCCTTTAAATAAAACCCTTTTGCCCTTGCATCAGTGTTTCTCAGGAGTTCAATCTTCAACACCAGGGAACAGGACTAGTGTTCAGTCTTCAACACAGGGTGAACAGGACTCAAACCCAATTCTCAACATCAGTATCAATTATACAATTCAGCTTAGTAAATTTTCTCCCAAAGGAAGTGTAGCAGCTAAGTCCAAAAGAGAAAGAAATCCCCTTGTGTTGGTATAGGTTAGAAGTGGATATTAGTGAACAGAAAATTCTGAATTGAAAGAAAGGGTTAGAACACTGAAAAAAGTATTTCCAGAAGAGCAAAAATGATGCATATCATCATAAAATAGAGAATTCAAGCAATTAAGCAGATATCAAAGTAAAAAACTTAAATATATAAACTATTGTCTCCAATTAGATATTTTATTTGCAATTTTTCATATAGCTTAAAATGTAAAGGTGATTTTAAAAATAATCTGTTTCAATGTACTTTAATAGATCTGGCCTCATCAAATTACTGTCAACTCCTGGTGCTATTTGCCTTGTAGAGGAGTCTTCTGCTGCTGAGCACTATAGTGTGCACCTGGAGTCATAGTTACTCAGAAAGCTAAGGTGGGAGGATGAAGCCCAGGAATTCAAGACTAGCCTGGACAGCATTGTAGGATATCATCTCAAAAAAAATAAATAAATAAAATAAACAAATACAGTGACGTTCTCTATTATAATAGAAGAGTGTTTTGATATAGGTCTTAGTCTTTCATTAATAACATTTAAACAATTACATTTATTGAGCAAGTAAATAATTTATAAAAATAAAAGGCTACAAAATAATACAATGGATCCAAAGATTTTTGAAGGAAAACCAGTCTCAAGACTGTATAGTCAGACTGCTATATATTACATCTAATTTTCAATTGCAGACACATCCAACAGTAATTATAAGATATGTCTCGTATTGAATAAAACTCAGCTGGGATGTATTTTAAAATGTATTTCTAAAGCCAGCAAAATATCTTTCCCAGTAGAGTTATCAAAGAGCTTGTGATGACAATCACTAACCATGATAGATATGTAATATCTATTAGTAATCTTCTTGGGTATCCTTCTTGAAAAAGCCTGGGCTATATCTTTTTAATATACTCTCATAGTGCCTATGCATTTCTTTATCACACTGTTCATTGTAATTGTTTGCTATCCTTGTTTCTTATTCATTTTGCATTATTAGGCTCTTCCACTATAAACTGCTTGACACACAGTAATCCATAAATGAATGAATGAATGAATGTTCAGAGAAAACAGATTAATTCCTATGGAAGTAATTGAGAGGACAGTGTTTTGTTTGCCCAGAACTTATCCTGATAGGCAGTTCTCTGAAGAGGAAGTCTTTTGTTTCCTGCTGTCTAGACCCCTGAAAATGCTTTTACTCCTAACTTTTCTAAGGCCTGGATTTCAGTTTTTCCTCCAATTATTGAGATTTCCTGTAAAGAGACATACTTTTCTGCTTAAGTTGATTGCTTGCCACCAAAGAATTCTTAAAACAGAACTCTTAAAATTGCAATCAAAGAACTAATATGATAGGCATAGCTGTATTATTGATTCCTAGGGTGACACATAGTACTTTAGCAAAGGATGAATTTCTACTGCCACCCTAAATCAGGTTCTAAATGGAGGGAACTACTGGACTTGTAGGGAGGCCCATTCACCTTATGTCTAGAAGGATTCTCAGTCCTAAACCCTCCTAGGCACAAAGGGGAAATTCCAAGAGTAGAAGATCGTTATTCAAGATAATAATACTCAAAGGTCTATGGGAGAAAAAAAAACYTTGGGAAATTTTGTTAAAAATATAGTTTATTTGCTGACTTTTTATTCTTTTAATGAATGAGCTCAATGAATAAGCTCATATAGGGACACTATGAAGGCAGTGCTAAGAGGAAAGTTCACTGCATTGAGCTCATTAATTAAAAGAAGAAAAAGTCAACAAATAAATGACCTAACATTATATGTTAAAGTCCTAGAAAAAGAAGAACAACCAACACCAAAACTACTAGAAGACATGAAATAATTAAAACCAGGGTGGAAATCAATGAAATTGAAACAAAAAAAATTCAAAAATTTGATAAAACAAAAAGCTGGTTTTATGAATAAATAAATAAAATTGACAAACCCTTAGCTACCCTAACAAAAAGAAAGCGACAGAAAATTCAAATTACTAAAATTTGTGATGAAAAAGGAAATATCACAACAGACACTACTGGAATACAGAAGACAATTAGAAGCTATTTTAAAAACTTATACTCCAGTAAAATAGAAAACCTTGAAGACACTGACAACTTTCTAGAGGCATATGATCAACCCGAACTGAGTCAAGAGGACATACACAATTTAAACAGGTAAATTTCAAGCAAGGAAATAGAAGATGACATCAAAAGCTTACCAACCAAGAAAAGCCCTGGAACAGAGGGATTCACAGCTGAATTCTACAAGACCTACCAAGAAGAATTAATAACAATTCTCCTCAAATTATTCCATGAAATAGAAAAGGAGGGAATGCTTCCAAACTCATTCTATGAGGCTAGTATCATCCTGATACCAAAACCAAGCAGAGACACATCAAAGAAAGAAAATTTCAGGCTAATATCCCTGATGAACATAGATGAAAAAATTCTCAATAAAATTCTGGAAAATGGCATGCAAAAATGTATTTAAAAAATAGTGTACTATGATCAACTGGGGTTCTAGGTTGGTTCAACATATGCAAATCAATAAATGTAATTCATCACATCAATAGACTTAAAGTTAAGAATCATATGATTATATCAATTAATGCAGAGAAAGCATTTGACAAAATAAAGCACCCTTTCATGTTCAAAACACTAAAAAACTAGGAATAGTAGAAATATACCTTAACATTGTAAAAACTATATATGCTAAACCCAAGGTCAATATCATTCTAAATGGAGAAAAATGGGAAATATCTCTCTAAAAATTGGAAACAAGACAGGGATGCCCTCTTTCACCACTTCTATTCAACATAGTACTTGAAACTCTAGCCAGAGCAATTAGACAGAAAAAAGATACAAAAGGAATATGAATAAGAAAAGAAGAACTCAAACTATCATTATTTGCTGGACATGATTGTATTCTTAGAGGATCCAAAAAACTCCACCAGAAAACTTTTAGAATTGATATAAAATCAATACACATAAGCCAAAGGCATTTTTATACATCAGTGATGAATCTTCTGAAAGAGAAATTAGGAAAACTACCCCCCCCCAAAAAAAATACTTGGGAATCAATTTAACAAAAGGGTTGAAAGATCTCTATAATGAAGAAGATCTTAGAAGATAGAAAGATTTCCCAAGCTCTTAGATAGGCAAAATTAATATTGTCAAAATGGCCATACTACCCAAAGAGTTATACAGATTCAATGTGATTCCAATTAAAATCCCAATGTCATTCCTTATAGAAATAGGAAAAGCAATCATGAAATTTATTTGGAAAAAAAAGAGACCTAGAATAGCTAAAGCAATCCTTAGCAAGAAGAGTGAAGCAGGAAGCATCACAATACCAGACTTCAAACTATACTACAAAGCTATAGTGACAAAAACAGCATGGTATTGACACCAAAACAAACACAAAGACCAATGGTACAGAATAGAAGACACAGAGACAAACCCACACAAATACAGTTATCTCATACTAGACAAAGGTGCAAAAACCATTTATTGGAGAATAGATAGCCTCTTCAACAAATGGTGCTGGGAAAACTGAAAATCCATATGCAACAAAGAAATTAAACCCCTATCTCTCACCATGCACAAAACTCAAATCAAAGTGGATCAAGGACCTAGGAATTAGGCCAGAGACCCTGTGTCTAGTAGAGGAAAAAGTAGGCCCAAATTTTCATCACGTTAGATTAGGCCCCAAATTCCTTAACAAGATTCTTAAAGCGCAAGAAATAAAATCAAGAATCAATGTGCTATCCCACTCCTCAGTCTATATCCATAGGACTTAAAATCGCATACTACAGTAATGCAGCCACATCAATGTTTACAGCAGCACAATTCACAATAGCTAAACTGTGGAAACAACCTAGATGCCCTTCAATAGATGAATGGATAAAAAAACTGTGGTGTGTGTGTGTGTATTTATATATGTATGTGTATATATATAKAGAGAGATAGATAGATAGATAATGGAATGTTACTTGGCATTAAAAGAGAATAAAATTATGGCATTTGCAGGTAAATGGATGGAGTCGGAGAATATCATGCAAAGCAAAGTAAGCCAATCCCCAAAAACTAAAGGCCAAATATTCTCTCTGATAAGTAGATGCTGGTCTATAATGGCGGGGGGTGGGGGCATGGGGAAAATGGAGGAACTGTGATTGGGCAAAGGACAGGAGGGAAAGAGAGGGAGCATGGGCGCAGGAAAGATGGTGGAATGAGATGGAAATCATTACCCTAGGTACATATATGACTACACATACAGTGCAACACTACATTGTGTACAACCAGAGAAATGAAAAGTTGTGTGGAAATTGTGTACAATTAAAATATGTGTGTGTGTGTGTGTGTGTGTATATATATATATATATATAAGCAGCTGAGCATGGTGGCACATGCCTGTAACCCCAGTGGCCTGGGAGGCTGAGGCAGGAGAATTGCATGTTCAAAGCCAGACTCAGCAAAAGCGAGGCGTTAAGCAACTCAGTGAGACCCTGTCTCTAAATAAAATACAAAATAGGCTGGGAATGTGGCTCAGTGGCCGAATGCCCCTGAGTTCAATCCCTGGTACCTGTCCCTGCAAAAAAAAAAAAAAAAAGTGAATGAGCACAAACATCTCTCTTGAATGGAAAGAACTTTTCTTTTTGTTCCAGAGGAGTGACACACCATTTATTTGCTGAATGCCTACTCGGTACAAGGCACTTTAGTATTTATCAGGACACAAAACAAAATTCTTTCCTTCATGGAGCTTAATCTACAAGGGAAAAATAAAAATGAAAACATAAGTCAATTGGCTAATGTGTTTAACAATTTTTTTAAAAAGCCAATTGCCTAATTTATCAATAGATTAAGTACTAAGAGAAAAGACTAAATAGAGCAGTATAAGAGGGACTGAAAGGAGTGTAGTGGTTCCAAAAATATGTCCATAATTTTTTGATATTCTCTTCAAGAGGAGAAGCTTAATTATTTCCTTGAGTGGAGGCCAGACTTAGTGACTCATTTCTAACAAACAGAATATGGCAAAAGCAATATTATATCACTTCCAAGATTAGGTTACAAAAAGACTGGTTTTCTTTTTTGGTACATTCTCTCTCTCTCTGGGATCACTTGCTCTGAACTAAGTGGCAGGTTGTCAGCAGTCCTATGGAGAAGTTCCTGTGACAAGTAACTAAAGCCTCCAGATGATAATCAGCAAGGAATACAGGCCTGCCCACAACAATGTGAGTAAACCTGAAAGTAATTTTCCTGCTCTAGTTCAGCCTTGAGATGGCTATAAACCTGTGAAAGATCCTAAACTAGAACTACTCAGCTAAACTGCTCCTAGATTCCTGATGCTCAGAAACTATGTGAGATAATACCTGCTTGTTGTTTTAAGCTATTAAATATCAGGGTGACTGTTAACTAGCAATAGATAAGTAATATAGTAAGGGCATGAAGGGGTCAGTTTCAGTATTAAGTAGGTGGCCCAGACCTCATTGAGAAGGTGACATTTGAACTAAGACTTAAGGAAGGTGAGGAAGGCATTTCTGAGAAACACCAAGGAGGCCAGTGTGACTGCAGTTGAGTACTGGAAGTAGTGGTTGGAGAATGAGGTTGCGTAGTAGGATGGTCAGTGATATAGAAACTTAAAAGACACAGGCTTGTATTCCAGATTAAAGAGAATCTGCATGTTTTGAGCAGAAAAAATACTGTGATATTCCAAAAATATTTGCACTGGAGTATAAAGAATATGCTATATATTTAAAGTATTTGTATATAATTTTTTTGTTAATCACACATCAAATTCTTTTGTAGTTCAATTTAACAGTGTAATGGATAAGAGGGCAAAATATAGCTAGAAGAATGGATATAAATAATTCTGATCATATTTACTAAAATGGATACAACCAAATTTAATTCATATCACATCACATAACTCAGTCAAAGAATTGTGAAAGAAAAAAGCATAAGTTTATAAAAGGTTCCTTAATTGTTTACAATATACAACCTGGGGGAAAATATTATCTTTCTTTTTTCTTTTAGAGTCCTTTCTTTATGGGCACATGAAACAAGTCAGTGTGGTTTATTAAAATGGAGTCAAGGCATGACTGATAGATTTTCTCAATACTTATGAGGAAAATAAATTTATTTAATTTTATAACTCTCTATCAACACAATAAACATCTATAACAGGGTAGCTTAATCTTACCTGATATAAGACATCTTTGATGTTTAGGAACATGTCTTTCAAGGAGACGCTTCATACAAGAATCTTTGGCTTCTTCTAAAGCACACTTTCCATTGGTACTTCTAAATAATGGATCAGCTCCATTTAAAAGAAGTAACTCTGCCACCTAGAAGAAGATTGTTCATGTGAGAAAGCCCAGACAAAGCATATATTATTGTAAATGTGTGCTAGCATACAACCCTAAGCAACACCAAATGTTTCTCTCAACAGCAGAGTATGGGATTATCTATCAGATCTTTGCCCAAGAAAAACAAAAAATATAATGCAGTTTCTACAGAATCATAATTTGCTGATATACAAATTCATTTTCTCACCAAAGAAGACTGAAAAACAGAAAGAAAGGAGGGAGGCACAAGTGAGGGAGGGGGAAAGAGGGAAATGAGAAGAGTAGGAAGGACGGAGAGTGAGGRAAGGAATTAAGTTGGGGCAGAAATATTGTGATTCAACTGCTGGTTAAATGAAGCTAGTAAATACACAAAGACTTAGAATTGGGTTCTACAGTGGCAATATAATTTTAAGAGGTTCCAAGAGACAGTCATGTCTTTCTTCTATACCTATGTATACTTACAGATGGCACTGCCTGTGAGGTAGAAACAGGCCAATTCTTACTCTGTAACCAGTTTTGTAGTAACCTACTCAATGCACCTTTCCCTGTCTGCCCCCACCCACTACTGCTCATGTACATATTTTATCACAGTGCCCAATATATTCATATATGTGTATGTTTCCTATTGTACTCAAGTTTCTTGAGGGTGAGATTATGGTTTTTTTCTATTAAATTAATTACATCTGAATAGGAAATTGATGAATACAGTTTTTTAAAAAAGAAAGTTCAGAAGAATATGGAATTAAAAGTTTCCTTCTTCTACCCCTGTCTCCCAGTCATCTTATTTTTTTTCCCCTGAGTCAGTCCTGATTACAGTCTCCTCTGAATTTTTCCAGAATTAGTCTAGTCCAACAGGTATGAAAGTATGTATACATCATATGTATATAGAGAGATTTTTCTTACACAAGGGGCAACTTGTTAAATACACTCTGTATCTTGCCTTCTTTTCCCCACCCTCCCCAAAGAGTCCTTGGAGATTGTTCCCTCTTGGCATAGACTGTACTTCCTCATTCTTTGTAGCAGCTGAGTAACATAGTCTATTATATGAATGTACTATAATTTATTTAACTAGTACCCAATTCATGAATGTTCAGTTGCTTCAAAGTTTTTGCTACACATATAATATCTTAATTGTCTTTGTAAACCCAATGCCTTTCTTGGTATCTGGCATAGAGTAAGTGCTCAAAAGTGTTGTTTAACAAAAGAATAAGAGAGGACTGGGGGTGCTGGGGTTGTATCTCAGTGGTAGAGTGCTTGCCTAGCATGTGTGAGACACTGGGTTCAATCCTCAGCACCACATAAAAATAAGTACATAAAAAAAAGGTATTGTGTCCATCTACAACTAATTTATATATATATATATATATATATATATATGTGTGTGTGTGTGTGTATATATATATATGTATGTATGTAATGGGAATGTGGCTCAGTGGCAGAACACTTGCCTAGCGCGCGCACGAGAGAGAGAGAGAGAGAGAGAGAGAGAGAGAGAGAGAGAGAGAGAGAGAGAGAGAGAGAGAGAGAGAGAGAGGGAGGGGGAGAGAGAGAGAGAGAAAAGCAAAGGGAGATTTTGCATGCACACAGAAAGGAAAAGGTCACGTGAAGATGCAGGAAGATATTATTGTGATGAAGTCTTAAAGTCAAGAAAAGAAGAACTCYAAGCCGCTACCAGAAGCTGAAAGAGGCGAGAATTAAGTTCTCCCCTATAGCATCTGGAGGGAGTAAAGCCCAGTCAACATCTTGATTGTAGCTAAGTGATATTGATTTTGGACTTTTGGACTCCAGGACTATGAGAGAATACTTTTTTGTTATTTTAAGCCATGCAGATTGTGATAATCATTTATAGCAGTCATAGGAAACCAATGTAGACTTTGGTACCAGGAAGTGGGGTGCTGTTGTAACAGATACCAAAAATGTGGAAATAATTTTRGAATTGAACAATGAGAGACTAAAAGAATTTTGAGAAACACAGTAAGAAAAGCCTTGATTACCTTGAATAGGCATTTGGTAGAAATAAAAGTCTTCATTAAAGACTTGATCCAGGGAGGGCGGAAGAGGCCCTTTACAGAAAACCAGTATCAGCTCAGAAAATGCATATGTAGGTGCTGGGCATAATGTAGTTCAGAGGTGGAGTGCATATGTAGTGCATATGTAGTTCAGTGGTGGAGTGCTTGCCTAGCATGTGTGAGGAACTGGGTTGAATCCTCAGTACCACATACAAATAAACAAATTAAATAAAAGGTATTATGTCCATTTACAACTAAAAATACTTTAAAATTTCATAAGAAAAAGAAAATGCATATATAATCATAAGCAAAATACTGGTATAGGAAAATATTAACAGTACTATTTTGGCATAACCTCAGAAGGAAATGTAAAACATGTTTTTAAGAAACTGGAGGAAAACAGATCATAGATAGATATACAGAGTAGCAGAGAAATGAGATGAACTGTCCAACAGTTATATGGAAAGCAGAACTTGTAAGTGGTAACTTGAACATTTAGCTGAGATTTCTAAGTAAAGCATTGAAGGTACAACCTGGTTTCTTCTTAAGGCTTATAGTAAAGTGTGAGAAAAAAAAGATAAATTGAGGAAAGAACTGTTAGGCAAAATGAAATAAGCACTTGGTGATTTGGGAAATTATGACTATCTAGATTGGAAAAAATGATAACATCTGGAGATTAACTGTAAGAAAGTATGCTCTAGAGAGGCCAATGGTATGACTGGAAAACTTTTTGCTAGTACTAAAGAGGCTAGGTATGTGATCCACAGACCCACTCAACCATGTCAGCAGAAGCCAATAATATAGATGGGATTATGGAAAGATCTGCAGAGGATCCCCTTGTCCATTGTGTGTATTCTTCAAATATAGTTGGGAGATTCACAAGTTTTTTTTTAACGCTGTGCCAGCAAAAACACTGTACCCTTGGACTGAAAAAGAATGAAATGAAAAACGGCTTAATTCTACAGGCAAGAAACAGGTGAAAACCACTCACCTGCAAATATATACTACCTTTCAAAAGAAAAGGAAGGATTAACACCAAAAGCAGAGCCTCAGGCCAACAGCTAGCAATGAATGGAGACTGACAACTGGCTGTGATATAATAGAGGCAGACTAGCTAGAAGCTTAATGTACAGTCAAGGAGAGTCTGGCTAAAACTACGGTCATCCTGGTAGTCCAGAGGACTGTGTATGCCCAAGTCTGTGTCATCTGAGACACCAGAGAGCGAACTTCTGAATGAGCAATCTCTGGATGAATGCAGACCAAACTCATGTACTTCCTGAATCGTGAACACAGTCTATAGGCCACACTAAATCCAACAGTAAAAGGTGAAAACTTGACCCGCTGAGCCTAGGCAGGCCCAGGACAGCTCCGCCAACACCCGCAGAGCCCACACTGGGTCTGAGCTGCATCTTTGAACACATCACCCAATGCCACTGCCTGGGTCCCCCCTACCCAACTTGACTTGACACTCCATCACTAAAAGCAGCCACCTCCATCTTGGGACACCTTCATGGCCATCTTTAGTTGTGGCAACTTGCTGAGAGCCATTACCAAGTAGGAATGACGCATCATAATCCTTGCCAGTGTACCCCATGTTAAATGGACTTGCCTTGGAAATTTGCTGCGACCTTGCTTGTGTGTTTGAGAAAGGTGACCCTGCTCAATCACCAGGGTGGATCCAGGATTAGGGTGTATTCCTGCAGGAAGTATCCCTGTCCTTGGGTTTAGGGTGTGACAATAGAAGTTTTAGGGAAGTTGGAGGTT